ATAGTAATAGATAAGGCATAACTCTAGTTTTTTTTTTTTGTACTGAAGACTGAACTCAGGACCTTGTGTTTTTGAGGCAGGTATGGTGCCCCTGAGCTAAATTCCCAGCCCTGATAAGGCATAACTCTAAAGTGAAAAACTCAAAATTATTCTGGAATGTTTGACTTTAAAATGTTGCAAAAAACTGATGCTGAATTCTATCCTTGAATATAGCTAAGGATGATAATTTGCTGATTTATAAAGAGGCACAGAAATCTCACAGTAAAGACATATTCTTTTCTCCTGGTCTCTCATTTCTCAAATATGCATTTTTGGAGGAACACAGGAAATGAAATAGCAAACTTACCTGGTTCAGGATTTAGTAAAAACCTTAACTTTATGCAACTCTTACCTGTTTCAGCTTGAAGTTTTTTTAAATGATATCCACCTGGTCCAACAAATTTTGCTCGTTTTGATAATGGAACCTCAATAGTTTCTGAAATGTAACACAAACAAATATATAAGTTCTAATACATATGTGACCCTAAAACATGCTTCACCATGAAATAGAAAAAGTTTATTACTTGATTAAAATGAATTTAAAATGTTCAAGAATATCCCCAAGTTTAAACTATTTTAAATTAAAATTTATTTTTTAAACTGATAATGTAAAAACTTAGAAACTGTACATATGTATGATATATTATATGATATTTTGATGCATATATACATAGTGTAATGTTTAAATCAGGAAACCTTTATCTTCAGAAGTATTATTTCTTAATGTTTTTCTAAAACATTTTAGCAATAAAAGCACTTTATGTTTTAATTTTGTGCATGGTGTAAAAAACTTTATAAACAGTAATATACTTTCATATATCAATGCTTACATTATCAAGAAATCAGTAATTTTAATGTATTACCTACAACAGGTCCATTTTCTTTTCTGGATGCTCGAGGTTTTGAAATTGTTTTGCTCATAATCTGTATTATTTCCTTCTTGGCCACTAGAAGAAATAAAACCAAACAAATATTATACATAAAATAAGTATCTCAAATATCTGCAGTTTTAGTTTTTATGGAATAAAATCTAAACTATTTAGCTTAATTATCAGAGATCTTCAAATCCCAATTATTTTGAAAATTTACTTATTTTTTTCTTTTCTTTTTTTTTTTGGTACCAGGGATTGACTAGGGTCCTTGCGCTTGCGAGACAGATGGTGGAACCACTAAGCCAAATCCCTGGCCCTGAAAATTCACTTATAATGTCTCTTCTGAATCCTATCTTGGAAAGTTGGTTAATGTAAAAATCGAAATTTCGCTGGTCTTTCACTTGAGTGGTTAGTCATGTACCTAATAATTAATATTCTTCATTTAAGTTACATGAAATTCCTCCTTTTGTTTTGGTGGTCTGATTAAGCAAAGTCCAGAGCCTCACGTGTGCTAAGCAAGCATTCTACCAACTGAGCTACCCCAAATGAAATTCCTTTTTTTTTTAGTATCAGGGATTGAACTCCGGTCCTTGCACTTGCAAGGCAGGCCACCAAACCGCTGAGCTAAATCCCTGGCCCTTGAAATTCCATTTTAAAAGCAATATTTTATAATAAGCTTAAAGGGAATTATAGTTCCCATTAGCAAACTAAAGAGTAACAAAAGGAGAAGAGAATAAGGCACAATGGCTTTACCTGATGCTTGCTGAATAGCCTCCATTACAATTTTTATTGGTATTCCTGGTAATTTAATATCAGCCTAATATAGAAGAGCCAAAAGTAAATGTTGATTCATGACATTATTTAAACATTACAAATTAGACAGAGTTTTAAAAATACCTGTAATGCAGTTATTCCCTTAGTGGTACCAGCTATTTTGAAATCCATGTCGCCGTTGTAATCTTCAATTCCCTTCAGAAATTTAAAAATTTACAAAGTTTAAACCAAAACAAAATTTACCCATAGTCACTGTAAAATTTCAAAATACAGCTTTAGGAATAAATCATGTTCTCTAAAACCAAATACAAAGAAAAATAATTAACTTTCTAATTATGACTTTTTTTTTGAGATAGTCTTGCTATTCAGGCTGGCCTTAAACTCGCTACATAGGCCAACCTGGATCTGAATTCAGTATAATCCTCTGGCCTCAGCCTCTTTAGTGGTGGGATTACAAGTATGCAGGTATGCACCACCATTCCTGGCTTTTTGTGACTTTTTGAAGTACAAATATTTTCACTGAAAACTCCTGATTTATTAGAAATCATTTTTATATCATGCCTCCTCAAATAAAAGCATAAAAATTACTTTACCTGTCCTAAAGTGAGCTACTATGTGTGTGAGACTGTCCTGTTGATTATCCCTAAAGCAGGCTGTAAGCAATGCAGGCTGTAAAGAGTTAACTACACAACTGACTTGTTTTAACTGAAAACACAATGTTAATCCTTAATCACAACCTATACCTGGTCTGTTTTGTTCCTAACACAAGAATGCTTTGTTTCTTCTTTTACAAACCTTGCCTGTGTCAGCAACATATCCCTAGCAGCTACATTTAGCTCCCTCTCACCAACTTAAAAATGACTGTGTCACCAATAAATATCTATGGTTCTAGCTGTTCAAGGCCTTTGCTTGCCCAAGCACTGGCCACCCCAGAACCCCATTTCTATCTCTTTAATCTGCCTCTAAGTTTTCTTGCCATGTGTCATAACACTGAAAAGGAGAATGAGAAGCTTGCTCCCTCTCCCCCTCTCTCTCTCCCCCTACACAAACACACACACACACACACACACACACACACACACACGCGCGCAATACATATATACACACACACACACAAAATACATATACACACACATATTATGTTAGGTATATATATATTATACAACTCATAGCCTTTAAAATCCTAGGGAAACACAGAAAGGATAAAAGAATCACTGTAACTGTTACTCAAGTACCAGCCTTCTAAGAATATGATAACTGTAAAGTATGTGGCCTTCACTATTAAATATGTGAACCTGGGAATATACTTGCCAGAATATCTGTCAGCAAACGATAATCTTCTATTTCACCTTTCTCAGGATTGATTTTGGTGACCAATCCTATTGCTACACCTGCAACAGCAGATGATACTGGAACCCCTAAAATTGAGAAAAAGATCTTTATGTGTAATGGATTTCTCATTGTTCATATTTATTTTAATATAAGAGGATGGTGTTCTCCAAATTGACAATCAACAAAGTTGACTTGGAAAGGTCTTAAGAGCCTTTTCAAGATCTGATTTTCTTTTTTGAACGTATAATAAAACTCCTTAAAACAATTTTTACAGGTAATCAATATGCTTGACAAAAACCTCCCTAATTAATAGCAAACTTTGTAATTTCTTTTTTTTTTTTTTGAGACAGGGTGTCACTCTGTAGTTCAGTGTGGCTTTGAACTCACTATGTAGCCCAGGTTGGCCTCAAACTTGTGATGATCCTCCTGCCTCAGCCTCCGCTGGGATTACAGGCATTGGCTACCCTGCCCAACTATAATTCTTAAATTATGGCTTGTTTTGTATTTGTGCTTTTGGTGCCATAATTTTCTTGAAAAGTAACCATGTAGTTGGTAAATTCTTCTAGCCTGAGCCCCAGTGCATTCCCCATAGCAATTATCATTAGTGCAGCATCCCAGAAAATTTCAGTGCACAAGTATAAATGTAAATATAATCTTACATTTTCTTTACTCATGGGAACACGCTACATATATTCATTCATTATTCTGTACCTTGCCTGTTTTACTTAGTAACATGTTTTAGACATTGATACATATTAGTATACAAAGTTCTACCTTATTACTTTGGTTGCCAAGTATATTTTTTTTATAAGATACAAGTAGAATTGCTGAGGTAAGTAGGTATGTGTATTTATAACTGTTGCACTGTTAAAGTGCCTTTCAAACATGTAGTGTTTTATACTTTTACTAGCAGTATATGAAGCTGCATGTTAGTCTGTAATTTTGTTAGTTTTTATTAAACATTTTGTTCTTCGAAAGAGTCAAAATAGTCACTTATTTTTAACCTGTTTTTTATGAGTGTGGTTTTGGAAATGTGTCTGTTCATGGCTTTCAACCATTTTTTATTTGGTTAGAATTCTTTTTATTGATTTGTAGAAGCTTTTTCAAAGATATTTTATTTGTGGTGCTGTAAGAGCACATCATTATGAATGTCTTTAATTATGAATATTAAAATATGAATGCAAAATATATTATTTCTTAGTTTGTTCACTTTACTAATAGTGATTATTTTTCTGGATAAAAATTTTAAAGTCGATATAGTCATGGCTCCTGGATTTTGCTTCTCAATGACATTTCTTCTCCAAGATTTTGATAAAATCTTCCATGTTTCATATAAAAAAATACTTAAGTTTTGATTACCTGGAATTTATTTTGGCACAATGGGATGTGATAAATATTTCATTCTCTCTAAGCAAACTCATACTTATGGTTCTATTACCATTATAATGTTGATTTACACACCTATCCTTTCTGGGGAGCTGGATCATCTGTCTCTAAATCATCTGCAGCTAAACATCCCCAAAACATCTTAAATATAAGTGAATCTCCTGCTATAAATGCTTTTCCTTTTATATTCCCTATCTTGGTTGAAAGCAACTAAACATTCATGCCAGAAATCAACACTTCTCATTTCTTATATTCCCTTCCTTTGTAAGATACAGTACTTATATTCATCAAATCACAACGATATTTTATCTTCTAAATTTTTTAGAAGGATGTCTTGTCCCCTAAATATTTAAATATATACCATTATTCCTTTAGTCCAACTTCACATTTTTTCTTGTGCTGGTAATAATTTCCCTATCTGGATTCTCCAATTTTTTGTGTGGTTGTTAGTTTTTGACTACCAGATTTTAATCTCTTCCCCTCCCTTCTAGCTTATCCCACTAACTTCCCAGGACCATCATCTAAGCCCGAAAAAACTACCTCAAAGGAAGAAGAAAAAAAATTAAAACATGCCACTCATTTATACAAAATTCTTTTAAGTTCTACATTTGTTTCTATATATATATA